ATTCCATATGTTAAAATACTATGTAGTAATGCATAGTATATTGTTTTTAGAGCTGGTGTATTAAGAAAATTGCGCATTTGTCTAAGAGCAAATACCTGCGAAGACGCCTTTGTGCATAGAACATCAATATGTTTGCCCCAATTTAGACCGGCGTCCAGTGTTACCCCTAACAATTTAACGGGATTATCTTTCTTTGTTGTCTTATTAGATGAAAAGGTGATGCATTGGTTTTTATTTTCATTCAGCATTAACTCGTTTGTATTAAACCAATTTTTTGCTATTGGGATACCTTCAGAATTTGAATGCTTGTTATCTTTTGTTATGATAGTTGTATCGTCGGCAAATAACACAGTAGTCCCTTTATTAATTGTAGAAGGTAGATCATTATTGTAGACCAAGAATAGCAATGGTCCTAAAATCGATCCCTGAGGAACACCCCTTTGTGAGTTTAAAAGGGAAGACTCGGAATTGTTGAAGCAAACATAGTGTAATATTAATAATAATAATAATAATAATAATAATAATAATAATAATAATAATAATAATAATAATAATAATAATAATAATAATAATAATAATAATAATAATAATAATAATAATAATAATAATAATAATAATAATAATAATAATAATAATAATAATAATAATAATAATAATAATAATAATAATAATAATAATAATAATAATAATAATAATAATAATAATAATAATAATAATAATAATAATAATAATAATAATAATAATAATAATAATAATAATAATAATAATAATAATAATAATAATAATAATAATAATAATAATAATAATAATAATAATAATAATAATAATAATAATAATAATAATAATAATAATAATAATAATAATAATAATAATAATAATAATAATAATAATAATAATAATAATAATATTAATAATAATAATAATAATAATAACAATAATAATAATAATAATAATAATAATAATAATAATAATAATAATAATAATAATAATAATAACTAAAACGATCGAAATGCTTAAACAAAAAGTGCAAGCGAAAGCACAAAGAATAAGAAGATATAAAAACCGAAACCTATTCCATTGGCAAAACAAAATATTTTTGGAAGATCCATCAAAATTTTACCGAACTACACAAGATAAAAACATAACAGTAACCAACCCACCTAACACAGAAGAAGTAAGAAAATTTTGGAGCAACATATGGGAACAAGAAAAACAACACAAAAGAGATGCGAAATGGATAAAAAGGCAAACCACCAGAAATAGGAGGGTAAGAACAATGAATTGGATAGATATAACGAAGAAAGAGGTTCGAGAAATATTACAAAGTCATCTAATTGGAAAAGCCCGGGACCAGATGGAATTCAAAACTATTGGCTTAAAAATTTTACAGCTGTCCATAAAGTACTTGCTAAGGTATACAATGACAGTCAAGAACAACCAACCTATCCCTGAATGGTTAACGGAAGGCACCACGTTTTTAATACCCAAGAACACCAATACAACTCAAGAAAAGAACTATAGACCAATTACGTGCCTGACAACGATTTACAAAAACATAACAGCGATATTTAGTGAAAGAATTTACAAACATTTAGATGAAAACAAAATGTTTCCCAGTGAACAAAAGGGGTGCATGAAAAACAGTTATGGATGTAAGGATCAACTACTGATTAATAATATGATGATAGACAGCTCCAAAAGGCAACACAAAAACCTTAGTATGGGATGGATAGATTACATGAAAGCCTTTGATAGTGTCCCTCATTCTTGGTTAATAGAAATAATGAACATACGCAAAATCGACAAGGCTCTTATACAATTTATAAAAAGAACAATGGATACCTGGAAAACTAACTTAATTTTAAACACAGAAAGCGAGAGAATTGACATTGGACCAATTAATATTAAGTCAGGAATCTTTCAAGGAGACTCGTTATCGCCATTACTCTTTTGCATGGCCTTATTTCCACTGACAAGTGAACTAAATGAAACAAATAAAGGATACAAAATAAAGAAAGACAAAAAACAAATAAATCATTTATTCTATGTAGACGACTTAAAACTCTTTGCTAAAAATAACGAAGAACTACAACACCTCATAAAAATAGTAAAAGATTTTAGCGACGATATAGGAATGAAATTTGGAACAGATAAATGTGCAAAACTAACCATAGAAAGAGGAAAGGTAAAAACAACAGGAAGTGTAATATTAGATAAAGACACGGAAATAAAAGAGCTAGAGGGAAATGCGTCCTACAAATATCTAGGGGTAGAAGAAAAAGATGATATTGAACACGAAAATATGAAAAAGAATGTATCCAGAGAATACTATAGAAGAGTCCGGTCGATTTTAAATAGCCAATTGATAGGTAAAAACAAATTCACAGCAATAGGAACACTTGCAGTCCCGGTACTAGGCTATAGCTTTGGTATTCTTAACTGGAAAGAAACAGATATTCAGAAGATAGATACCAAAACTAGAAAATTACTTACGATCCATAACTTACTACATCCAAGAGCAGATGTCGATAGACTATACCTTCCCAGGCAATTAGGAGGCCGAGGCTTAACAAATATTGAAGAAACATATAAATTAACAATTATCGGACTAGCAAAATATATAGAAATAAAGAGTGAGGACGGACTCATATCAATGCTAAAAGAATAGGAAGAAGGGATAGTAACGGGAAAATCAATACTTAAACGTGGAAGAAAGCTAATTCAAGAAAACACCGAAGAGGTTATAAATATAAACAATGAAAAGACAGTGACAGAAAATGTTAAAATACTGAAAAAACAGATTAAACAACAAATCATACAAAAGAGAGAAGAGCAGTACACAAACAAAGCAATGCACGGACAATATGCAAGAGAAATGAAGAATGAAAATGTTAACAAAGAACTAACATTCAGCTGGTTAAAGCACGGATCCATCAAAGGAGAAACCGAATCACTAATAACCGCAGCCCAAGATCAAGCAATAACTACCAACTATATAAAAAAAAGAATACATAAAGCAGATGTGGATCCAAAATGTAGCATCTGCAAGCAATATGACGAAACCGTAAGGCATATAATGACAGGGTGTCCAATATTAGCCAGCAAAGAATACATCAGCCGCCACAATAAAGTATGTACAAGCTTGCACTATAATATATGCCAGCACTACAAAATAATAACGGAAACAAATTGGTACGACCATATTCCTAAAAGCGTCGAAACCAAAGATGACATAACAATAATCTGGGACACCCAAGTACAAACAGACAGAACAATTAATGCCAATAAGCCAGATATAATAATCAAAGATCTAGGTCAAAAAGTCTGCTATATTATAGATGTGGCAATACCATCGGACAATTCAGTTACTCTAAAGGAAGCAGAAAAGAGACTGAAATATAGAGATCTACAAATAGAACTAAGTAGGATGTGGGGCTTAAAAACTATAATATTACCGGTCATCATAGGAGCAACAGGAACAATTCAAAAAAACTTTACAAATATTCATAAGACTCTGACCATAAAACAACATACCAGCTACAAAAAACAACAGTATAAGGCACAGCACACATATTAAGAAAAGTAGTAACATAGTTGTAACAGAAGCGTCTCTACCTGAGGAAACAGGCAGTTTCTTGGAAGAAGACGAAATATACCCGAAAAACAACGAAATCGGAGAAGAAAGAAAAATAATAATAATAATAATAATAATAATAATAATAATAATAATAATAATAATAATAATAATAATAATAATAATAATAATAATAATAATAATTAATAATAATAATAATAATAATAATAATAATAATAATAATAATAATAATAATAATAATAATAATAATAATAATAATAATAATAATAATAATAATAATAATAATAATAATAATAATAATAATAATAATAATAATAATAATAATAATAATAATAATAATAATAATAATAATAATAATAATAATAATAATAATAATAATAATAATAATAATAATAATAATAATAATAATAATAATAATAATAATAATAATAATAATAATAATAATAATAATAATAATAATAATAATAATAATAATAATAATAATAATAATAATAATAATAATAATAATAATAATAATAATAATAATAATAATAATAATAATAATAATAATAATAATAATAATAATAATAATAATAATAATAATAATAATAATAATAATAATAATAATAATAATAATAATAATAATAATAATAATAATAATAATAATAATAATAATAATAATAATAATAATAATAATAATAATAATAATAATAATAATAATAATAATAATAATAATAATAATAATAATAATAATAATAATAATAATAATAATAATAATAATAATAATAATAATAATAATAATAATAATAATAATAATAATAATAATAATAATAATAATAATAATAATAATAATAATAATAATAATAATAATAATAATAATAATAATAATAATAATAATAATAATAATAATAATAATAATAATAATAATAATAATAATAATAATAATAATAATAATAATAATAATAATAATAATAATAATAATAATAATAATAATAATAATAATAATAATAATAATAATAATAATAATAATAATAATAATAATAATAATAATAATAATAATAATAATAATAATAATAATAATAATAATAATAATAATAATAATAATAATAATAATAATAATAATAATAATAATAATAATAATAATAATAATAATAATAATAATAATAATATTAATAATAATAATAATAATAATAATAATAATAATAATAATAATAATAATAATAATAATAATAATAATAATAATAATAATAATAATAATAATAATAATAATAATAATAATAATAATAATAATAATAATAATAATAATAATAATAATAATAATAATAATAATAATAATAATAATACAATACAATACGTTTAATGACCACATTACATACGCCAGTACATTTGAAGTCCTACATGTTTTTTTTTTATAGTTGCTTAAAATCTAATATCTAAATAGTTCATATTATTATAAAAATACAAGATTAAAATATGAACATACAAGACAGTATAAAATAGTAATGACAATTAAAATTGTAAACTAATAAATTTGGATATTATGTAAGATATTATAGTTTAAAATAATTGTAAATAAATAAAATATAACATAAATTATAAAGTTGTTATAAAATAAAGTAGTTATGAAATAAAATAGTTAGAGTTATAAAATAAATAGTAATAAAACAATAAAATAGTTATCAATAAAATAGTTATCAATAAAATAGTTATAAGATTTAACAAGAAAATGACATATACTCCTGTACACTGTAGAAACAATTTTTCTGTAAGAAGTCTTTCACGAATTTGTAAAATTCTTTGTTATTTAAGAGTTTAATATTTTCATTTTTATATAAATTACACAGTTTGTTATAAAGATGTTTATCAAGTTTATTGTTCTGTGATATACAAATTCGCGAATATGGTACTATCAGGTTTTCACGCCCCCTTGTACTGTATTGGTGGATATCCGAATGTGATGAAATACTAGACAATCGACTGTGTATAGCAATTAACGATTGAAATATATACAAACAAGGGAGCGGTAAAATCTCATATTTTTTAAAAAGCTCCTGACAATGGTCGCGACATTGTGCACAATCTATAATTCTGATAGCGGCTTTTTGCAGTGCAAAAACCTTATTTGCAAACCTACAGTTTCCCCACAATGTCACTCCATATATCAGGTGACTCTGCACTAACGCATAGTAGACTGTTGTCATTATTTTGTTATTAATCGAGGAGCGTAACTGCCTCATGACAAATATTTGAGAGGATAAACGTGAGCATAGATTCTCTATATGAGCTGACCAGGTTAGACTAGTGTCAAATGTTATCCCCAAAAGTTTTACGGGCTGAGACTTTTCTGTCCATTTGTCGGAGCTAAAACAAATACTTTGTGTTTTAGTATTATTTAAAATTAATTTATTAGTAGTGAACCAAGTTTTAGCTGTATCTAAATTTTCTAGTCTCTCGTGTTCTCCTCCTCTTGTTAAAAATGTGGTGTCATCAGCATATAAGACAACCTTGCTTAAATTATATATGGCATTAGGAAGATCGTTTACATATAATAAAAATAAAATCGGTCCCAGGACAGAACCTTGTGGGACTCCGTTTTTTATGTTTTCTATCTGGGAGTCAGTGTTATTAAAGCTGACGTATTGCTTTCTATTTTTCATATAGGATTCAAATAATTGAAGTTCGTTGTTACGAAAACCGTAGTATTCCATTTTTCTTATTAGGATTTCGATATTGACGCAGTCAAAGGCCTTGGTGAGGTCACACATAGTGGCATAAGTGTCTTCACCCTCATCAATGCCTTCCACTACGTCTTCGGTCAATTTAATAAGTGCACTAGTGGTTGATCTATTTTTTCGGAATCCAAATTGAGCAGATGTTATTATATTCTTCCGTTCCAAATACGAAATTAACTTATCTTTTAGAAGAATCTCGAATATTTTTGATAAAATTGGAGTTATTGCTATAGGTCGAAAGTTATCAACTACATCAATATCTCCCTTTTTGTGAATAGGTATGATTTTTGAAATTTTAAATGTTTCGGGCCAATTACCTTCACTTATGCACTTATTAAACAAATCCGTTAAAGGTTTTAGTAGCGAGCTTAAAGATGCTTTGATCATTAAAGCATTAAATCCGTAGTAATCAAGGCCTGGTTTATTTTTTAGCGATAGGACCGCCTGTCGAACATCAGATTCAATAAGGGGTGTCATAAAGAAAGAAAAAGTTGGTTTTGGAATAGCTTGAAGATATGTCAAAGGGTCAATTTCAGGACATTCTATTTCTTTTAAAATTTTTTCTGATATTGTTGAAAAAAAGTTATTGAAATCGTCCGAATTTAATGTAGTGGGCGTTTTTGTTTTAGTTTTTCCGTACCTTTCACCATTTACGATATTCCAGATTGCCTTTGATTTATTTTCAGCGTTTGAAATTGATTCCATACAGGCCTTCCTTTTTCCCTCTTTCACCGATTTTTTGTATTTTTTGCGAGCCTCGCAATATGAAGACCATTCTAGAGGCAAATTTGATTTTTGAAATTTAGATCTGAGACTAAATACCTCTTTGCGCATTTCCTTTAGCTCACTAGTAAACCATTTCATACCATTATTTTTATGCGAGATATGTTTTAATGGAAAGCATATGTCTGCATTATTTGTTAATACTTCGCAAATTATATTTGCACATTGATTTGAATCTAGATACTCTAACTCTAAACTGTCCCAAGAAATTTTATTTAACTGATCAGCAAATATAGAAAGACTGTGGTCGTTAATGATTCTTTTTTTATAACATATGTTTTTTTTTAAAGGAACAGACTTATAAAACAAGTAAGTGCCAGAATGGTCAGACACAAGTGGTTCAAAAACCCCAGACGATAATTCCTCATCATTTAAATTTGTAATTATATTGTCCAGACAAGTTCTGGAAGTTGATGTAATTCTCGTTGGGATGTGTATCAAATGTGTCAGCCCATACATGGTAAAAATATTCCGCAAATCTTTGGCATAATCAGTGTTTCCATCAAGGTCCATATTAATATCGCCAGTAATAATAATATTTTTAAACCTCTTGGAAAAATAATCAATTAATTCAGTGAGTTTATTTATAAATACTAAAATATCACCTTTACTCGATGATCTATATAAAGCTATTATAATACAGTTTTTACCTTTAATTTCTGCGGCACAAAACTCAGCATCGACCGGTTGACAAAAAATACTTACATCTACACTAACAAATTGCAAATTATCCTTAGCAAATATAGCTACTCCACCGTGTAATTTACGATGATGCCTGCAGAAAGATGAAATTAAATTATATTGGTTTATTTTAATGTTTTTTATACTTTCCGAGTCCAGCCAATGCTCAGTAATGCATAACACAGTGTATGGATTTTTGCTTAAAAAAATATTCAAATCATTAATCTTGTTTGAGATACTTTGGACGTTGATATGAAACACCGAACATACCGATTGGTCGAATAAAAATATATTAGAAGTTTGGGGATTTATTAAATTTCTATACTGTATTAATTGTCCTGTTGCCCTTTCGTCACTGACTAATTTGAGATCTGACTCGCTTTGATGGAAAAAACCGGTTCACATACACTTTACTCGGCCACATTTCCGACACAAGGATTTTATCCGCTTCCTCAAAGGCGACCGTGATTTTGAACGAAGCGTACACTGCAGGAAATCGACAATCTAATTTTTCTACAGTGGCACTTGAAGCAAAACTTTTAATATATTTTTCTAGTTCTTCGATATCAACATCGGGCTCAAAATTTGTAGCATCAAATTCCTTCACTGTACGAGGTGCGGCAGCTTTAAACGGACAGGTGTTGGTGTCATCATTGCTGCCTATCAATAGGTTCGTTCTTCGTCTTCTATACCCAGGTTGATTTTCTGAGTTTGGGTTATTAAGTTTTATTATTTCATTACATACAGTGTTAGCATTAGCCATATGTACTGCAGAAGAAACTGCTAATGGAGTAATTTTCGTATTAATTTGATTTTTTGGAGGATTTTGTGGATTATTACCTGAAGAATGAGACGGATTTGTTGCAGTCGATGGAATATTGTTAGTCAATTTCAGAGCATTTGCAAAATTTAAATTGTCTGCCTTATTTGCACATGTATTCACTCTAGATTGCTTTAATAGATCAATTTGCTGATTTAGAGCAGTTAGCGCGGTCTCTAAGCTTTTGATAGTGTGATCTTTCTGATCTGACAATTCTTCCTGTTTTTTTATTGTTACGTCTTTCTGTTTTAATAATTCCTCAAGGTATTTTATTTTTATTTTGTCAGTTGCAGCTGAAACGTCCAATAGTTTTTCATTTGGGACCAACTTCTTCGGTTCGACGTCAACAGTGCCATCATTTGCAGCGCAGCAAATTACTGTACCATCTGGCATAAATTTAGCACTTTTCATTAATTTTAAACAGCAAGAATGGGACAGTTTACCACATTTAATACATTTAAGGCCTGTTTTAACGGATTTATTACATCTGACACAAATTTCTGGGGTATTTTCCGACATTGTCGACAATTTTATAATATCGTTACTAGCTTAAAACAAATATATAAAGTCAAAATTTAAATTAAAATCGTAGCTTCAAAGTTCTATTTTGCTAAATTATTTACCGTGGTGGAATAGACAGAGGATTTTGGTACGTAAAAAGATAAAGAATGTTTTTATTGTTTTCAATTGTACTCACGAATTCTTGTAAAACCGGTCATTAAACTCAAGATTTTACGTTAATTTCAATTGCACAGATCTGCTAATACAACCACGGGTGCACTACACAAACAACTTGGCGGTGCACTATGTTTCACAATTTAAAACAACTTAAAACCACTGTTATCCAACTTTAATGGTGCACGTGAATCCAACACGTCTTACTCGAATAAGCACTATTCCACCTAATAATAATAATAATAATAATAATAATAATAATAATAATAATAATAATAATAATAATAATAATAATAATAATAATAATAATAATAATAATAATAATAATAATAATAATAATAATAATAATAATAATAATAATAATAATAATAATAATAATAATAATAATAATAATAATAATAATAATAATAATAATAATAATAATAATAATAATAATAATAATAATAATAATAATAATAATAATAATAATAATAATAATAATAATAATAATAATAATAATAATAATAATAATAATAATAATAATAATAATAATAATAATAATAATAATAATAATAATAATAATAATAATAATAATAATAATAATAATAATAATAATAATAATAATAATAATAATAATAATAATAATAATAATAATAATAATAATAATAATAATAATAATAATAATAATAATAATAATAATAATAATAATAATAATAATAATAATAATAATAATAATAATAATAATAATAATAATAATAATAATAATAATAATAATAATAATAATAATAATAATAATAATAATAATAATAATAATAATAATAATAATAATAATAATAATAATAATAATAATAATAATAATAATAATAATAATAATAATAATAATAATAATAATAATAATAATAATAATAATAATAATAATAATAATAATAATAATAATAATAATAATAATAATAATAATAATAATAATAATAATAATAATAATAATAATAATAATAATAATAATAATAATAATAATAATAATAATAATAATAATAATAATAATAATAATAATAATAATAAAAATAATAATAATAATAATAATAATAATAATAATAATAATAATAATAATAATAATAATAATAATAATAATAATAATAATAATAATAATAATAATAATAATAATAATAATAATAATAATAATAATAATAATAATAATAATAATAATAATAATAATAATAATAATAATAATAATAATAATAATAATAATAATAATAATAATAATAATAATAATAATAATAATAATAATAATAATAATAATAATAATAATAATAATAATAATAATAATAATAATAATAATAATAATAATAATAATAATAATAATAATAATAATAATAATAATAATAATAATAATAATAATAATAATAATAATAATAATAATAATAATAATAATAATAATAATAATAATAATAATAATAATAATAATAATAATAATAATAATAATAATAATAATAATAATAATAATAATAATAATAATAATAATAATAATAATAATAATAATAATAATAATAATAATAATAATAATAATAATAATAATAATAATAATAATAATAATAATAATAATAATAATAATAATAATAATAATAATAATAATAATAATAATAATAATAATAATAATAATAATAATAATAATAATAATAATAATAATAATAATAATAATAATAATAATAATAATAATAATAATAATAATAATAATAATAATAATAATAATAATAATAATAATAATAATAATAATAATAATAATAATAATAATAATAATAATAATAATAATAATAATAATAATAATAATAATAATAATAATAATAATAATAATAATAATAATAATAATAATAATAATAATAATAATAATAATATAATAATAATAATAATAATAATAATAATAATAATAATAATAATAATAATAATAATAATAATAATAATAATAATAATAATAATAATAATAATAATAATAATAATAATAATAATAATAATAATAATAATAATAATAATAATAATAATAATAATAATAATAATAATAATAATAATAATAATAATAATAATAATAATAATATAATAATAATAATAATAATAATAATAATAATAATAATAATAATAATAATAATAATAATAATAATAATAATAATAATAATAATAATAATAATAATAATAATAATAATAATAATAATAATAATAATAATAATAATAATAATAATAATAATAATAATAATAATAATAATAATAATAATAATAATAATAATAATAATAATAATAATAATAATAATAATAATAATAATAATAATAATAATAATAATAATAATAATAATAATAATAATAATAAAAAAAAAAAAAATTGTCGTGTTGGTAATTGGCTGCTTGGGTGGTATCACAAATAATCTGGTTCCTAATTTAAGAATAATGGTGGCGTGCCATAATAGACCCGAAAACATAGCCGCCGAAATGCAGAAGGCTGTCATCCTGGGCTCACTCAGGTTGCTCAGAACTCACGAGAATCGGAACTCATAATTTCTTACTCTGCAGGTAGCAGGGAGAAGTTGTGAGTATTTTTGCCAGTCAGGACTCGTGTTGTCGGAGATACGAGATAGCCTGGTCTGGAATTTACAACGAATAATTAATAATAATAATAATAATAATAATTATAATAATAATAATAATAATAATAATAATAATAATAATAATAATAATAATAATAATAATAATAATTATAATAATAATAATAATAATAATAATAATAATAATAATAATAATAATAATAATAATAATAATAATAATAATAATAATAATAATAATAATAATAATAATAATAATAATAATAATAATAATAATAATAATAATAATAATAATAATTATAATAATTATAATAATAATAATAATAATAATAATAATAATAATAATAATAATAATAATAATAATAATAATAATAATAATAATAATAATAATAATAATAATAATAATAATAATAATAATAATAATAATAATAATAATAATAATAATAATAATAATAATAATAATAATAATAATAATAATAATAATAATAATAATAATAATAATAATAATAATAATAATAATAATAATAATAATAATAATAATAATAATAATAATAATAATAATAATAATAATAATAATAATAATAATAATAATAATAATAATAATAATAATAATAATAATAATAATAATAATAATAATAATAATAATAATAATAATAATAATAATAATAATAATAATAATAATAATAATAATAATAATAATAATAATAATAATAATAATAATAATAATAATAATAATAATAATAATAATAATAATAATAATAATAATAATAATAATAATAATAATAATAATAATAATAATAATAATAATAATAATAATAATAATAATAATAATAATAATAATAATAATAATAATAATAATAATAATAATAATAATAATAATAATAATAATAATAATAATAATAATAATAATAATAATAATAATAATAATAATAATAATAATAATAATAATAATAATAATAATAATAATAATAATAATAATAATAATAATAATAATAATAATAATAATAATAATAATAATAATAATAATAATAATAATAATAATAATAATAATAATAATAATAATAATAATAATAATAATAATAATAATAATAATAATAATAATAATAATAATAATAATAATAATAATAATAATAATAATAATAATAATAATAATAATAATAATAATAATAATAATAATAATAATAATAATAATAATAATAATAATAATAATAATAATAATAATAATAATAATAATAATAATAATAATAATAATAATAATAATAATAATAATAATAATAATAATAATAATAATAATAATAATAATAATAATAATAATAATAATAATAATAATAATAATAATAATAATAATAATAATAATAATAATAATAATAATAATAATAATAATAATAATAATAATAATAATAATAATAATAATAATAATAATAATAATAATAATAATAATAATAATAATAATAATAATAATAATAATAATAATAATAATAATAATAATAATAATAATAATAATAATAATAATAATAATAATAATAATAATAATAATAATAATAATAATAATAATAATAATAATAATAATAATAATAATATTAATAATAATAATAATAATAATAATAATAATAATAATAATAATAATAATAATAATAATAATAATAATAATAATAATAATAATAATAATAATAATAATAATATTAATAATAATAATAATAATAATAATAATAATAATAATAATAATAATAATAATAATAATAATAATAATAATAATAATAATAATAATAATAATAATAATAATAATAATAATAATAATAATAATAATAATAATAATAATAATAATAATAATAATAATAATAATAATAATAATAATAATAATAATAATAATAATAATAATAATAATAATAATAATAATAATAATAATAATAATAATAATAATAATAATAATAATAATAATAATAATAATAATAATAATAATAATAATAATAATAATAATAATAATAATAATAATAATAATAATAATAATAATAATAATAATAATAATAATAATAATAATAATAATAATAATAATAATAATAATAATAATAATAATAATAATAATAATAATAATAATAATAATAATAATAATAATAATAATAATAATAATAATAATAATAATAATAATAATAATAATAATAATAATAATAATAATAATAATAATAATAATAATAATAATAATAATAATAATAATAATAATAATAATAATAATAATAATAATAATAATAATAATAATAATAATAATAATAATAATAATAATAATAATAATAATAATAATAATAATAATAATAATAATAATAATAATAATAATAATAATAATAATAATAATAATAATAATAATAATAATAATAATAATAATAATAATAATAATAATAATAATAATAATAATAATAATAATAATAATAATAATAATAATAATAATAATAATAATAATAATAATAATAATAATAATAATAATAAT